ATAATGATAATAATAATAATAATAATAATAATAATAATAATAATAATAATAATAATAATTTCTTCCATTTTTTTCATTTTCTGTACTCTTTTATGTGATATATTATACTACTTAATAAACCACAGTAACTAATTTCATTTTTATTCATTTTTGAACATAAGGTATGTAATGCCTATTCAGTGTGTACTAATTTTAAGTATCTACACGAATACGTTACACTCTATTTATATATTACAGTAACTGAAGTTTTTAAAAATATGTAATATCTGCTGTCAATTATCATCTGTTCATTGAAATTTATTTAGACTTAACATTTTTTTTGGGATTCTAGTCCCCGTGTAGATTGTTACCCACCGTAATGGATTTAACACTAGTCACTAATGTATGTTTTAGAAAATATTTCTTGTATAAGTAATTCGGCAAATTTTGTTTGTTTGTTGTATATTCGTGCGATAAACGTCTGAATATTTAATTTATTGAGGTTTACAATTAGATTGATTTAAAGAAGTACATATTCGTCAGAGGAATATTTGTAACTATTAGAACTTAAACATTGAAGAACTCATGTGAATAGTCCATCTATATGAATCGTCGAAAGAATTTTGTAGGTAGGGTGTTTGAGCCATGCATAAATGAGTGATGTGGTAAGAGACGATCATATAAATTTTCCATTTATGTCCTACTGTTTGAAAAATCTTATTCATACTCTATGATCTAGTTGTGCTGACAGTATCGAATCATTATTATTCTATGGCTACACAAATAAACTGCTTATTATAATAGCATTGTGGTTTAGACTGAACAGATACAAAATATTGCTGAGAAATAAAAGAAGAAACGATAAATTTGAGTAAAGGAAGTATCTATATTTAGGATAAATTTAGAGGTACATCTGATTCAGTTATTTTTCAAATAGCTTGAAACGTACATCAAGTTCAAGAAAATCGTTCTGCCATATCTGGTTCCGATACAAAATAAGTTAAGTTTTAGATAGTGGTTTGTATGGACTATTTTAGTCATTAAAATAGCCTATTATACTCAAACTTAGCCTTGAGGCAGTTATGTATACTGATAGATGTATACTGATTGATCACCTTCCAAGAGTAGTTTTGACAGCAAACCACTTCATATGTGTGCAAATCTAGTCATAAAGAAGTTTCCCCTAGTCTTTAGGCTATAGTTTTCCATGTCAACTATGAGATATTAATGATTACTGACTGCTGACTGCTAAATTTGGATAGGTCAGTAATATGCGGGATAACTTAGTAGAAAATTCAATGATATGAGTAGTTCAAAACTTTGAAAGACCACTTTTTTGAGATTTATATATAAGTGATTACGAAAATAGAGCTTAGTTTATATGAGGGTATTACTCTAGCTACTCAGTCAGTCGGCTACAATGTAGGATCAGTTACATATATGCATCGGTCCAAATTACCACACCTCAATAGCTCATTAAGATGAACACCAAATTCATGGAAGTAGTTACTTCAATGGTAGTAATATATAAAATATTGTGTACAAGGATATAGTGCAATAAAAAAAATTAATTCGTACAAATAAAGGTATAACGTAACTTTAATTTCACAGTCTAAGGGAAGACAAAGAACGTATACACTCACGCCACTGCAATCGATTCTGAGCCATTTCACATATTCTCCGACCATTGTTTAAAATAGTCTCGCGGACCCCAACCAAGTAGTCTGCACCTACCAACATGGCTCAGACCAGAAGTTAGTGGCTTTGGTTTGGCCGCCCCTAACTTCCTCCCATCCATCTCCAACACTAGTCAGCATTGCGCGTCGAGGTAATCTGTGTTCAGGCATACGTAACACATGGCACAACCATCTCAGTCATTGAAGATTCACAGCGTCATCAACTGATTTACCATCATTCCCTAATACTCTGCGTCGAACCTCACTATTACTTATCCAGTGATCCCAACAGATGTGAGCAATATTTCTAAGACATCTGTGGTCAAATACTAGTGGCTTACGATATCTTCTACTTTTAATGGTCACGTTTCGCAGCCGTAAATTAGAATAGAACGAACTGGCGCGCAGTACACTCATACCTTAATTGATAGACGGATATCTCACCTTTATTATAAGTGCAATAATTTGGCAGATTTCAAAGGAGCTTTTTGAATCCGCGTAAAGATTTCTTCAGACACCAATCCACTAGGATTAACTGGCCTCCTAATTAAGTGAATTTGTCGACGCGTTTGACAACTTGAGCATTAAAGTTGTAGTTGTATTGGTACTAATCATACGATCCTCAAAGGGTAACAAGAGATAATTGGTAAAATGTATGTTCAACGTTTAATACCGAGAAAATGCCAATAATGGTGAGCGCGGGAACATTCAATTAGATGACATGGCTCGGCATTGCAGGCGTAGTAATCCTTGTGTAACATCTCTTTTACTCATATCAAATGTATTGTTCTATCTGCAGCCTAAATATGTTCTCCGGAAGCGCTAGATACCATATTGTTATGGTCTTGTCGGGATGATTGAGTGTAGACAATGGTGGGATTCTCACGTAAAATCTCATAAACTAGGTAGCACATCATGAAAATCTATAATTTTGGGATTATGTCTGTAATTATATTATCACTAATACCGATATACCATAATTCTACATTAGTGAGACCTACTAAAAGAATGTAACCTGTTATCAAAAGTTTATACTAATATCCAGGTCTACTTTGCATATTATTACATAAATCTACATGTATTCATCCGGGTGCACTAAAAGGGGAACATTTCAGTGAGCCTTAGGTATGTAGAGTCATGGTTTAGATTGCTATTAGTGCTGCCATAATGTCAGACCCAATCCTAAATTTGTAGATTTGTCATGACATAACTACCTAGTTTATGAAATATTACGTGGAAGTCCCATCATTGTCCAGACTGACTTGTCGTATCATAAGAATCAGCGATATAACGTCTTATGTTTCTAAAGAACATATTTGGGCCGAAGACAGATTGATATATTTCGTATGAATAGAGACGAGTTATACTGAATGACCACATCTGAAAGGCCGAGCCATACCATCTGACTGAATGAATTGAATGTTCCGCGTCCATTATTGTTGACCTCTTCGTGTTAACTGCCAGTAGTTAAATGCTTGTCTTCAAAGGTCGAGTGGTAAAGAACCAGTGCCACCACAGATATACAAAAATTTATCACCCCGCAATATATTTTGTAAAGTAACGTAGAAAGCTGAATGAACGTGCTAGTGGCTCTAAATGAATAAATACACGTACAGATTAAACAGGATATACCTGAACAATGCTTCCTTCGAGAGATACAGTCAGTGGTAAAACAACGAAACTTTATGATCAACTACCAAACAGTAAACAATTAAAATATTAGGAAAAATGTATGACAAGTACTTATTAAGGAGTAAAAAGAGTTTTACCAACTTTGGACCAGTATCGATGCCCGGTAAAATGTGACAAATATACCCCCAATCAAGTACCTCCAAAGCAAGTAGTTAACCATCCAAAAGCAACAAACTTTCTTTAAAAGCGGTAAATAAAGCTTCATTCCTAAATTAATAGACTTTGGCGCTTAAGCAATTCTTCGTTAATGATAGTTACTGGGATCTTAACAACCACGCCGAATAGGGTTACGATACAACAGTCTTCGTGTTTATGTCTAGTATCATTTTTTAAAGATAGAACTTAATATGAAATTCTCCCAGTCGTTCAATAACATAATTTGGGTTACAGATAACTCGAATAAATGTGCTTAAGTGGTTTATGGTAAACTCTGAGAGTTTCTATGGTAGTCTAGGATGAACTTGATCACATCCCACATATTTATTTATATCGGGTTTACTTAGCAAACTGAAGAATCCGAGTTCTTTAGTGATGACAACGTCCGGAATGCAAATGAGGCATTTGTATGAACCTAAGGGAAGGACATATGACTGCCAAAGTAGTCGAACCGTAATTGAATATTGTTGGATTTATTTTTGGTTGTTGATGTAGTACTTTCATCCTCCTTTTGTTCTTAAGTAGGAACAGAAGCGTTTTGGTATTCCACAGACTCCCCGACAGGTTTTTGATCGTAAAACATTTTAGACTTTCGAAAGGCTGATACACAAGTATATCGGGCTTCTCAATATTGAAACTTAATGTCGCTAGCGCGCAATAGCCCAGATATCCCACAAATTATTTTTTTATTGCTGAAAAGTGTACGGAATGTGTAATTGAGTTATGATGGGAAGTTTTTCAGACTCCTTGGTATAGTTCAAGGAGCGTGACTGCTGTAACCTATATGTACAAATTTCTAAATACACTCTCAGATGTTTATGTAAGGGAATCTAAACCTATCGTCCAACTCACCGTAGGAGTTGTGTATAAAATTTCACATACCTCCCTGTGTCTGCTTTTCAAACATTCAATCTATCTCGACCTGATACATAATTACTGACAATTCATGGAAATGAAATAATAAAACCTCATTGTCACTCTCACCGAGAGGGGGGACATACAGATGGAGACTGCTGCGCTAACCTCATAATGGACAAATATGTCAGCTTATAGTGACTACTTGGAGTCCGGGTGGTATATAGTACTTCATTTCACATGTTGTACTGCGGTACATGGGATAACCACATCGACTAGTTTTTGTTCTGAATAAGCTATCGTCAGATTTTTTCATTCCACAGTTGGTGCATTAAAGTCACCCAAAATTAAACACCCACCACTCAAACACTAATCGCTGAGTCCGTTCAGCAAGGTTATGGTTATGTTTGATCCTAACCATACGATCATTAAAGCTGAACATACAACCAATTAGAAGACTAATATTATATTTTGAACACATGGAGCAAGTTAGAAAGATTGGACTCAGAAACACATTTGAGGATTGATGGAACACTGTTATTCTCATATCATAGCACAAGGTGAGGAGAAAGTTTCTTCAACTATTTAGAAAATGCTGACTACGACCTTCAAACTTTTTAAATTTGTAAATAGTACCGCGAGATGGCAACGATTCTTGGTGTTGGACCTGGTGTATTTATCCTCTGTATGCTTTGGGCCGCTACCATAATAATATGCCTAGTAATCTCCTACAGAGAGACACGTTCAAAGTAATGTGATAGTTTATCTAACCCCATTTTAGGTTTTTTTCAGTTTTAGTTGTAATTTTATCTCTGATAATCTCCGTGATCTTACTTGTTATTCCAAGGGATTCAAAGGTATCAAAAAGTGAAGAAAAGTTTGATTACAATTATATCATACGTATCTTGTTCCTACTTTTATATACAGTTACTAGTCTTATTTTTTTCGTTCTTTACTGCATTTTATATGCATTCAAAATATATCAACGTTAATAACATGTTTTTCCCCATATATGGACTGTCCCTTAAGATCGACGATCTGTGGTTCTAAGTAGATTACATATGTGGTCTTTGTATTAAAAATAATGACTGAGCAAAACCCAATTGGGTTGTGTTTGTGAGCAAACATTCAATAACAATCTCTATTCGAACGATATACATTTCCTATTGTTTGACTGTTATCCCAGTGGCACATTATCAGACAAATTATTAATCAAGAAACGATCATTTGCGCTAGGTACTTTGAGGTCACGAACTTTTAATCTTCAGTCTTTAATATTAAGGATAGGAGGTCAATTAACTTATACTATTCCTTGCCTAATCTCGCTTTGAATGCATTAACAATTGCTGATATTATTTACTCCATTAAATAATTCTAGTATTTCACTATTTGATGAGAAAAACGGGATTCCAGACGTTGAATATTTGATCTTGGTCTTTGAACTTTCTTGAAATGTCCTCAATCCAAGATGGAAGCAAAGCACAAGACATATTAGTATCAAGATCATCGTTCAGTATACGATTAGCCAGTCACCTCGTAACATGCAGAGATAACTGAAATAGATTGAAGCGTCGCTGTCTGTCTTCGTGAGATAGGACATAGAGACCTTTTACCAATTTGTTCCGTTGCCGTTGAACTCGTTCTAGCAAATCCCCCTCATATTTGAAATAAGGACTCGCTGTTTGAATGTAATATTTCAAATGCAAACTCACAAAAACCGGGTATAATAACCTAAGCATTTTTTCGTTTAAGTACTAAAAAGGACCAAGAATTGTACCTTGAGGAACTCCACCTTTTAAAGATTCCCACGCTGACAGACCTCTAATCACCTATACCTGTTGTCTCCTACTGTTGATAAAGTCACTTATCCGGTTTTCGGTTTCATGATAGATCCCAAAACTTTCCAGTTTTTATTTAAGATATAGATGAGAGACCTAGTCAAAGGCTTTACCTAAATCAATGAAAATCACATCGACCGGAGTATTTTTACCTTTTGCTGTAGCTCAATCTTTTCTGCCAATGAGCGAATTTGTAAAGTATAGTAGGCCTTTTCTAAAACCATGTTATTTCCTAGATAAAAGACTATGCATTTTCACATAGTCTAAAATAGCTATTCGAATTTTATTTTCTATTAGTCTGACAACTACACTGAATAGACTAACGGGTCGATAGATACTAAGTTTCAAAACTTTGCTTTATAAACCGGACTGATTATAGCTTCTCTTCAGTCTCTAGACAGCCGCAAAGACACATCGAACTGTATTTCCAGAGGTTCAGCACTTACACCTACCAGGTTTTTCATAATTCTAGGATAATTGTCGTCAGGACCACTGGACATATCTGGTTTGAGATGCTGTAGTAGTCGTAAAACAGTTCCTTTCTAAATAACCTCGTGACCCATCGTCAAGCTGCCATTATCACGATCAACTGTTGGTTTTTCACTATCGTCGGTAGAGAGCACTTTATTAAAATATAAAGATGAGGCTTCAGCTTTTGCAACACCGTTTCTTGTTAATAACAACTAATTTCGTTGTACTAAGTGATAGGATTCCATCGCTTCTCTGAGTTTTCCTCTTCATCTCTGAGAAAAACTTTTTCAGACTATTTTCACAGTCCTTAACCAATTGTTTTTATGTGAATGTCTAGCTTGACTTATCAACGCTTTGCAAGCGTTTCTGGTCTTGCAACAAATGAATCTGTGTTGTGGACAGACTATAGAGATGAACATGCCACAATGCTTTTACCCACGTCTAAGAAGTTTCTTTACCTGTCTAATTAACCACGGTAGACGGTTATTTGGTCTGCATGGTAAAAACGGGGATGTGACCAAACTAACTGTATCTACAGTCGGTCAGTCAGCTTCAACGTAGGACCAGGTACCTATATGCATCGGTCCAAGTTTCCATACGTCATTAACACAACAAGATGAACACCAGATCCATAAAAGTAGTTAATTCAGAGTTGGTAATATATAAAAGAAAGATTGCATATAGGGATAGAGTACAGGAATATAGAATTAGTTCGTAGAAAGAAAGATATGAAGCGATTTTAATCTAATAATTTAAGGGAAGACAGAGAGTGTATACACCGACGCCATTGTGGTCGATTCTGAGCCATTTCACACAGTCTCCAGCCATTCGTTACGATAGTCACGCGGACCCCAAACAAGTAGTCTGCATCTACCAACATGGCTCAGACTAGAGGTTAGTGTCTTCAAGCACCAATGCCACGTTTTGGTTTAGCCGCACCTTTCTTCCAACCATCTCCAGCACTAGTCAGCATTGCGCGTCGTGGTACGAACCATGCTTCTTCAATTTATAAGCTAGTATTTAGCGACCACTTCGTTGTTGCAACGTACTCCTGAACGATTGGTGTTTCTTACCAACCACGCGAGTGCTGGTTGTGGCTTTTTTCATTCTCGTTTTCGCTTCCGTACGGTCGTCTATTTCTCGTCACTCAGGATAGCCACATCAGGACTACTTGGAACGGTGACGGTTTATCCGGATCTTCAAGTACTGTTTTAAAATCGTGACCATCAATATCCGATGGTACTTCACGTTTTGCTTGTTTCAGAAGAGATTTTCCTTTACCATGTTTTTCATTCAGGCGCTTGTTTATTCCTGTATAACAAAACATATTACACTGGTACATTATTCATTGCCAGTACTCGAGTTACTGGTGCAAACACTCAACGTTTTTATTGACCAACGAAAGAATGCCCACCGCTTCTTGGATCAGTAATGTCTTACCTGGACAGAAAAGCATACAAAGCCGATGGGAGTTATCCTTCGAGAATCTTTTGGGTAAGGTAGTTTTAAACAGACTCACTTCACCTGGAGCCAATTTTCGCACTCACCACACAAGATTCCTTTCTCCACGGGGGAAAATCAATTCGGCTTTCCACATTTACAGGTACAGCCGAACATTGTAAACAGATTGAAAGGGTGAAGAAAACGAAAAATATACACGAGACAACCATTAGTATGGAGATAAACTAAAGAGGATTACCAAAGGACGGACTTTAAAAAAATCTTAAACCTTAACCGAAATAATTGAAGTCAAAGTAGACCAAGTGTGTTTTTGATTCAATAAATACACAAAAGCAAGGTTAATTCACAACAAGTACGAAATCACTTCCCCTTTTCAAACGCGCAAGTCGTTTTAATGGGAAGGAAATTAGCAATAAGATGTAACGGGATTTATAGATTATCCACAAACTGCAACAAACACATTGAACGTTTATTTCCAGAAAAACAGGGATATTTGTGCTCAGGTCTGTAAAACATTCAACCCATCATTAGTCTTTTATTTAATAGTCAACTCCATGACATACATCTATAAAACATCCTGTCCAAAATCGTTTTACACTGGCAGCTAAAACTCATATGCTGTAAATTAACGTATAAATAGATGTCATCCATATTTGCCCACACATGAGAAGTTCAGAATAAAAACCTCGTGTTTAGGGATGGAAAGATGACCATTCAAAAAATGTTTGGATGTAATATAAGGGATACAACGTCAGTTGAATGAGACTATACGGCTATCGTTGAATTCTACGGGGATAAATAAACCCATATAGTATCTAGGAAAGATGTATTTAAGGGGTAGTTATAAGCTAGTTTTATTTATTAAAACACATAAACATTGGTACAAGGAGGCACCAAATAGATATACGCCACATAAATCATTAGATTTGTGTGAGGTCTGGGATACTGCCCGGGTGCCCAAATCGAAGCATCTGGTTTTCTTAGGGGGCCACACCCGGAGCCTTTGACCTAAAGGTCTGACCCACAACGTAAGGAGATGCAGGTGACCAACGATAGGTTTGTACACCATTTGTTCCTTCAGGATGCTGGAGGTCATGTGCACCACTGGTTTGGAATCAGGGTTTTCCAACTCCCCTAGGTAGACTCTCCGTGTCCACCAACCCGTTTAAAGCGCCAGACATTCGCTTTTCGTCCTCTCAATTGCGTAAACAACAGCCCCCTTGCGAGGAGACAGTGAGTAGGACTGCCTTGGCAGTAGCTGTATACATGTGGCTATGTGAGAGCATTTCGAGAGGGAGAGTGAACAGTCCCCACCCTCGGTCGTACCAGGGCATTTGGGGGGGGGTCATAAGCTAATGAACTAATGAGTTTTCTCACATCCAAGTGAAGATATGCGTATCATGTATTTCACTGATAATCAGGACCAAGATATACTAGAACTTTTAATATAATGGTTGTAAGCCCTAACCATTAAACTATAACGGTAGACCGAGTATCATTTGACCTGGAGATTATGACTATCTTTAACTTATGATATTGTCAGCTAGGAAAATTAATTTTAATGAGAATGAAGTAAAAGAAACTTTACATACGAGGTAAAGCTTTGTCATGTATTTATCTTAAACCTGTATATGGCATAAATAAAGCAAAATAAGTATTGTGTAGAGAAATTAGCTTCATTACCTTTGTTATCCTAGAAAGCAACAAATAAATTGTGTTAGATGAGCCAAATCGACTAACAGAGTATTCATTAATAATATTTTTTGACCATTGTGTTGCACAATAACTGACTTTGAATAAATAGAGGTTAAGTTTTTGAGATAGTTTACACCATTACTTCTTGATATGTTTTGTTATGCACAACCATTCAACTTCTTATGACAATTCATTTTAACAACCTTATGAATGTATACATATCGAATTCAAACAAACGAAATAGTGAAACCAAAACCATTCTAACTGATCATTTAAGTAGACTGATTATAAACACAGACATTTGCTATAACTTTTATTTCATAAAATAGAAGGACAATATTATGATCAGAAACTATAAATGCACAATTACTTACTTACTTACGCCTGTTACT